TAATTTGTTATGAAATAAATATAGAAAATTAGAGCCATTGGATAAGATAGGATTATAAGTAGAAAAACGAATGGAGTAGTTCCGCAAACAAAATATATTCCCGTGTTTTCTTCTTGAAATTATTTATGCAATTTACTGTTCCTTAACTAATATTATGTGACACCTACAGCGATTTTTAAAAGAATCGTTTATAATTTTTTAGTACAGTTTGTATGGAGGGCAGTCAAACTGGTTAAACAGTAATCAAATTGAAAATATTTTGCTAAAAAATGTTCACTGCATAATACCATAACCAAACGCCGCTCTTCTACTTAATGTTCTTACAGTTAAACGATAAGAAGTAACTTTTTATGTATTTGTACACTCAATTTACCAGATTTAGACCCCGTTCACACTTGAACATTGTGATCGATTTAACTAAACAAGGTTCACTTTAGACGCTTTGAAACGATTTTGAATCAATCTATTAAAACACCAAAAGAGGTAGTTTGGTTTAAATCGATCTAAAGTGAACCATACTTACTTTAAATGTGAACGCAGAGATCGTTCTAAACTAGTACGATTGAATGGAAAATGATTTGTGCGCATGTATGGCGGCAAAATGACACGTGCAATTATGAACAACATAAAATGGCTGAAAATTAACGAAAACTATACGAATAGCAATATCAACATTTGATCTTGTAATTCAAGTGAAACAATAACTTCGTCTCTTACTTTTTAGCAAGCGTGTATATCAACACATTAATTTGATTAGATCTTTCTATTTATACCCTGTGTTTATAATTTCATAGATAATAAGGTCAGATCGATGGTATTTTTACGTGTAGCGGTTCAGATTAGACCAATAGAGATCTTTCGGATTAAAGATAATGTGAACGCTAACTGGTTTTATTTAAATCGATTTAAAAAGCTAGTGTGAAAGGAGTCTTATTCAATTGCATAAAAAATATTGAACAAAATTTCATAACGATACACGTAAAACTTTTTAGCATTTATCTCAACCAATCTAAAATGTAAAAAAGACAGGGAATCAAATTGAATCCTTAAAACATATAGAAGGCAAGCAATTTTCATGTTGATATATGAATATATAAAATAGAAATTTTGATATCAACCAATTGGTAGCAGTGAAGTTTTGTCGGACCGGGTGTGTCTGATTTCAGTTTTCCTAATACAAAACATCTAGGAGCAATGTTCGATTCCCAATGACGACAAAGGAAACTTGCAAAAGTCAAATGATTGTTTTCTATTAAATTCCCTATTTGATTAAAAGTCAGTAATACGCCAAATGAAACGTACTGAAATAAAGCACACAATAAAAACATAATAATTTAATTTGATGAATCATTTTCAGCGATATATCTGCAATTAAGTTTTTTTATTCACCAGCACAAAAATGCATAAGTATTTATTGTACCCTAACGACAACAATATTTCTTCCTGTAATATGATGAATTTAAGATTTTGAAGGAACTGACTGGAAATCCCATTGATTTAAATATGAATAGGCTGTCTTTTTATATTGTTTTGTCTTTTTTACACTGTTTTGGGTCAACCTTTATCGACAAACATCATTTTCACGGTTATAATTTTAACGTACAAAATAGAAGGTTAAAAAAAGATAATGGTTACAATTTTTGCCAAAATTTTATTGTGGATGACTATTCTTTATTTCAAAGGTATGTACAAAGTAAGTAACTAAAACGATTCCACGTCTAAAACAAAATCAAGCATGCGTGTTTCTACCTCACCAACAATGTTATCCCTGACCCAATTTCGGATTTTTGAGTTCACGATAAGATAGTCCTTTTAGCATATAAGGAGAGGTAATGAGGATATATCATGTTTACTAATATTTCGACTATTTATAATTCAAAGTTAGATTATTGTTCTTACTGTCAAATCGTCATACCTTAACTTAATTTTGTGATTTTTGATTTGTATATAAAATTATCTTTTTAGGTGTTGTCATTAATTGGATTAGTTCTTCATAATATTGTTATAATGGCATTGTGTTGCTACATTTGTAATTACATTTTTTTTAAAAGTAAATGCCGTGTTAATGAGGTTTATGATGCTTTTATGTCAGTAAGGCCAGTGTGTTTTGTTGCTTTGCAGCTAGGTATGAACTAAAAGGAAAACAGAATAATAAATTTATTTCAATTAAACGTTCAGGGAACTTTAAACTTCAGTAAAATTTATGTCCAAAGTCTTTTATTATTTGGTAAGAAGATTTAAAGAAAAATTTGGAAACTAACGTTTCGTTTCTTAGATTAATTTTTTAACAAGAAATACTAAGGTGTTAGAAATGACACTTACCATTTTTAATACCAGCATATTTTGTATGTTTCTTACCCAAATCAGGATGAGCCTAAAAGTCATTTGTTTTACCTGTCTTCTAGCTTCACATAGTTTACTTTGCGGTATATGTGTTGCTCATTTTTGAAGGCCATATGATGACATGTTTAGACGGCATATTTTGAAAGCCTTGATTCCAGAAAAGGAAACCACGGTAAATGAATAGGGTGACATCACTACAATGGTTAAATTAGTGTTGCATTTGTATGTACTTTCTCTCTTCGTCTCTGAAAGTTTAGACTTAGAAAAGAGACACCTTTCAGTGATCTCGTAAAATTGGGAAAAATAAAATCCTCATAGATACCAGGATTGGAATTTTGTACATTTTGGATTTGTGAAATTATCATGCAAATGTATTTTAGCGTACGAAATCTAGTTGTCTGGACCTGCTTAATTTTTTTATCTTAATTTTAGCTTCACCATGTGTATCAAGAGGTAGATTTCGAGTCCGAGTAAGAAGAGGAACATATCATTCCGTCAATTATGATTCCGAAAGTGACGGGAATCAATTTAATTCAGGAACAACTCGTTCTGGATTTTTTTCGGATACAGGGTAATGTTATCAAAATAATCAAAAATTTATCAGTTCAAATATATCAATTATTTTTTTTGTTCAATATCAACGCTTTTGACCCATCAATGTTTATGAAATATATCTGAATTTTTTTTGACCACTTACTTTTTTTGAAATTTTCCTCATCACCTTGTACCCTTCGCCTTTCGACTAAAATCTTTCAATATTTTTTTCCGAAATAGCTACAGCAATACTATGAGACGATGGTTATCGTCAGGGTGTTACGTTTTTAATATGTTTCCAAGAATAGCCATCTTATTAAAAAGATAAAACATGAGGATAAAATAATTGAAAATAGCTATAAAGAATTCCAGAAAAAGTCTGAAAGCCTTAGTGTAATATAAACTCTAAACGGAGAAAAATAGGACGTAGTGTATAATTACACACTTATTGATAATAAGTGATTCTTGCAGCTTTTGAGAAGGGTAAAGTTATTTTTCTCAGAGGACACTCTCAGCGCCATAAGGAACTCTTTAAGGGCACTCTTTCTGCATAGAACTTCTCTTTTAGGGCACTCTGACATATGTATAAATGCACTGTTATGAAAAGGGATTTAATATACAAATGTTTCATATTTATTGGCAAGAAATAAAGATATCGTGTTATGAATTTAATTTCTTTTTAAAATAAAATTATCACTTCTAGACAAAGCTGATAGTGCAACTGCTTTGTTTCAATCAATAACTATTGATCGTAGTACGTGTATTGTTTTGGAGTGTCGTATTGCGTTTATTTTTGTATACAAAGGCATGCTCGAACTACTACTTACGTTTACATAAAATATGATTGTATTTATCATGTTTTTATGGTCTACCGTAGCATGTGGACACTCTCACTTCCAATAACTAGTTTTGTTACAATTAAAACGTCTATCTTGGCGAAACATCTTATTCGTGTTAACTGGAATCGGATTTTCTGGAGCCAACTGGTTTTTCTTGGAAGGTGTTGGCGGTGAATCGATCTTGCGTTTAAATTTCTTTCTTTTACTTGGAATTGGCTCTGTCCTGTGCCTTGTATATAACTTTTTCATCTTCGGATTTCTCCCCTGATGGATTTGTGGTGTATTCGTCGACAACCCTCCTTGTGTCTGGAGAATCAGCTAACTTAATAAACTTTTGTCTCGACTTTATTAGTTCCATACCCTTTGCCGTTTGAATGCTATCTTGGTCTTATTTTCTGATTCGAACTTGTTGTTTACTTCCAGGTAACTCACGAAGACATCGTTTTTCATTGCCCCTTTTTCGAAACTTGTAGGTCTCTATCATGGTCTCATCAATTTTGGCAACTACGACTCGCACAATTCCTTTTGGCTTTCCTTGATGTTTTGCTGAAAACCATTTAACTGTGTGCCAAGCAGTTAAGTTAAGTTGTTCGGAAGTTTGTTCTGAGTGCGATAAATATCGACTTAGATTATTTCTGTGTCATTATATATATGAATATATATATATATTTTTTTGCATGCACACGTATAAAAATTGCGGTTTTTATCCAACGCAATCATAGGTTTGAACGTTGTTTTCAATTTAGACTTAATTATTTATATATATATATATATATATTTACGTTTGAACCAGTGACAACTCTACGACAGATTTTATCCATCGGATCACCAGTGATGTTGATACAAGGCTGAACACACATTCTGTAAATATAATTCGTCTAAATAATAGCCTAACAATGTTAGATCTGTAAATTTTTGTTCTTCCCTGGCCGGGATTCGAACAAATATATATATATATAGCCAGATCATAATCAACCCCTCTAAATGGACAATAAGCAAATTACCCGTAAAATCAAAATAATTGTATCCCGTTTTACTTTCGAGTAAATATATTTACACCTCGCCAAGGATTAAAAACTCGATTTAATCATTATAACATCGTTGATAAGTCTGTGACAATAAATTCTATGCGATTTGGAATTTTCAGAAGAGCTGATCAAAGTGATACAGGCAGGGTGCAGACGGACAATAGCACAAGATTTGTTATAGAGATTATAATTTGATTGACAAAATGCTTTTCATGTTTACATTTGTTAAATTCACTTTACGTTTTGCAGTGTTGGGACATATATAGTAATAGTAACAGTCTGCATCGCCGCCCTCATTGGATTAGTGTTCGTGTTGAATGAATTATGCGGTTGTAATGATAAATCAAAAAGAAGAGAACACCGGAGGAACATAATGATGTCACCTATAAATAATATTGACCAACGGTGTAAGTTTAAATATCGTTGAAAATGTGTTAAAAGGTCGAAGACATCGATTCGAGTTCATTTATTTGTGAAAACAAAGTGGACTAGAACACAGCTTAACTATATTGTTCAAATGTCAATACGTTGAAAGTTAAACGGACCATAAGCCTCCAACACACAAAAAAATGAAACAACATTGGTTGATACAATGATTATTACAGGAAGACCAATTTACCCTGTATTTGGTTTTTGTATTTTATACAACCTACTGGAATTTGAATATCAAATAGAATATTCATACTTAACTTAATTTTCAAATTAATGATTAAACATGTATCTATTACATCAAAATGTTGTTAAGTGTATTTGTTGTTGACAACAATATGCATACAGGATCGCAAATTTTTTAATTTTTTAATTTTTGCCATCAAAACACATCGTTCATCGGTTCAGTTTGTCATATTGTTGGTTTTGATTAAGAATGTTCTAATTATGTATCTTTGAAATACTCATGATTTGTCAAAGATGCTTACTGATGTCTTTAAACAATAATACTTTGGGTATATAGATATAAGAAGATGTGGTATGCGTACCAATGAGACAACTCCCCATGCAAGTCACAATATGTAAAAGTAAACCATTATAGGTCAAAGTACGGCCTGCAACACGGAGCCTTAATTTTGCTCACACCGAACAGCAAGCTATAAAGGTCACAAAAATTACTAGTGTAAAACCATTCAAACAGGGAAACACTTATGAACCACATCAACAAACGACAACTTCTGAATTTCAGTTTCCTGACTTAGGACATGTGCAAACAAATGCAGCGGGTTTAAACGTTTTAATAGGCGCCAACCTTCACCCAACTTGAAACAATAGTGTAACATCACAACATAGAAAGACACACTAAAAATATCAATTGAAATGGCTGAACTCAATCAAAAGACATATTAACAAAAACATACACTGAACGAATAAATTTGATATCTGACACAATGTTAATACAAAATTAATAAAACAAGGGGGTTAGATGTTAGACAATATCAGAAAGATAACCATAACCTTCGACAAAATATCGCCAGAGAAAATAAAAATATATGTTCAAAAATTCGTCATGACATTTTTAGAAACTATATGCGCAAAAGAAGCTGTAATCTTATCTGTTATATCAAGTAAAGATTGAAAGACTTTTCAAAAATGGCATTTTCCCTAAGACAGCCAATGTTTTTATATGCTCAATTTATTGTCGTTGTAGAACAAAAGTGACGAAACAGGACTGACAGAGAAGAAAACGATTGTTGATTTAAGATTTACAGTAAAGGAGAACGAATTATTTTATATTGTTATGTTGTGTTGTGTTGTATTTTTTGTTTTTCTTTAAGGGAGAGGAATGCTGGTGAAAAAAGGCCGGCCATAAAAAAAATCTTGTACTTTTGTAGACTCGGAACAAATAAGTGCTTGTCAAATTGTATAGACACTTGTTTATTGTTTATTATTTTTATTAATTTTACGATGTTGTCATATAAAAGTATGCAACAATAATCAGTGGGAAAGCCAGTGACATTGAAGAGTTCCTATCATCGGTCACGCGGGAAAGGGGACTTAATCGAAAAATTACGTGGTGGCTCTGCAATCAGCGTGTAAACAAAAACGTAGCTTGTGCTTCAGACGATAACAGTATTTGAGGTTTAATTTTCATGAGAATAGATTTTGTCACACGACTGCCAAAAATATATTAAAATAATTGCTTAGTTTTTGAAATATGATAAATCAAAAGACGATCTCCGTTGACTTCCAAAAAACCGCGGGTAATACCCCCGTAAACACTCAGTTTATCTCTGTTTAATGCCATTTTTTAGCCACATGGTCACAGTCATTCTTTGTTTCTGTAAGTATTTACCTAAAATGTGTAAACTTGTCAATTTTAAAAATATTAAAAGTATCAATCAACAAATATTGCCTGCCTGCCACTGTGACCTGAAAATCTGATGAGTCAATTATTTTCACTTGATTTTTAGTCTTTGTTCTTGTTGTATAAACAACACTGTACTAAGCTAGTAGGAAGCAAACATTCAATCATGTGAATGAGCCTGCCTGTTGTACACTATTAAACTATTCATTTTTAAGTGTGTCTGGGCCCTAGGGCATGTTAAACTCTTGAAAAAGAATTGCTTTAATCAAGAATTTGGGAACAAATATCTGTCATTGAGTTTTCAAAGTGTGTACATGTTCTTAAAAATATTTTTTTTGGAAAAGTTGAAGAAACTGCATCTTATCCAGTTTTGTGGCCATTCATCAAATTTGGTATTCTTCCATAGTTGTAATTATTTTACCATTTATAGTTCTGGATTTAGAATTTTTATCACATGCTGCTTTACCAGGTCCTTTATACTTGACATATTGGTTTGCTCAGTGTGGAATGCTGAAACAGTAACCTATAATAATCCTCTTTCAATTGTCAATATGGATTTCTTTTAAAACAACTTTTCCCAATGAAAACTAAATGTGAAAAAAATAGTTCAACCCAGATATGCTGCTGCTGAAGAAACTAACATTAACAATGGTATTTTTCAAATATAGCATTCATTATTTACTCTATCACTGTCTATTCTTTCGTTGAAGATAAAAAACAATTTAAATTGAATGCATCCAAGAGCTTTTTCTGGATTAACTTTTAATAGGAATTCTCAATGCCCAGTACATACAAGTCTTAATACACGTTAGAGCTATAAGAGCATTAAAAAAAGCTATATCGCTTCTAAGGTCTACTTTGAAGATGGCATATGAATGTCTCACTCTGATTTCGGTGATCCTGTTTTATTGCATTGATATTAATGTTCGACCCACAACTTTTATTTCACACTAATCTTTGTCCAGGTCTATCATGATGGAAATTTTAGGAATGGTAAATTCAGAAAGGATAGCAAGATTTTTATTAACGTAATAATGTAAATGGGTGAGTATCTACAAATGTAAATAATAAATTGTATTATAATACCTTTTAATCTGATTAAAATGCAAATCCTGTGTCCAAGCCTTAATTACAAGAAAACAAAGCTTGGACACAGGATCTACATTTTAATCAGATTTATACCATTCCTATATCTGTGTGATGATTTTTCTGCAAAGCAATACTTTTTCACACATTTTTTTCCGTTCTTCAAATTGCAATAATAAAGGAACACAATAATTTGCAAAATCATGTGATTACATATAGGAAAAGGGCACTTGGGCATCTCATTCTAAATACTACACATGTAGCAGGATCTGCTTACTCTTCCAGAGCACCTGAAATCATCTGTATTTTGTGGGTTCAAGTTGCTCAGTTTTCATTTTTCTTTATTGTATAAGTTTAATCTTTTCACCAAATAGTCTGAAAACAGAGATATGTGTCTGCTGAAAATAATTAATTTAGGTGCAGGGGTCGCCACACTTCAAAATCTCCCAAGAGGCAAAACTGAGAAGTCATGTCATGATATGTAAGGCCATTAGGGAGACTTCAAGGATACTTAAGGGTGAAGTGAACTATTCTAAAATCACTCTTTTAAGTCCTTCACACGTAATAAATCATTAAAGTAGACCTTTTTATATCTTAGATATTTTTTTATGTCTGAAATACTACAGTACATACATGTCTATGGCTAAAATGCTTGCTTTGCATCTATGAATCTCAGGTTTTTCAATGACATAATGTATTATTGTAGTGCAGCATCATTGTCTCATGAACATCTACCCAATGTTATCAATATAAAACGATTATGGTGTTTGTATATTTAAAAATATTAAAAAATATTAAGAAAAAAGAAGTTTTATTAAAAGATAAATAAATATAAATGCATAAAAATAATGTAAGAATGAAACATATGTAAATAATAATTTAAATAATTATAATTAAATAAGCTTCAATAAAATAAACAAAACGACTTAATACTTTGGAAGTAATTAAAAAAAAACTGCATGATAATAAATATTAAAATTTAAGAAGCATTATTGTTAAAAAGTCCATGTAAAACAAAAGTCAAATAGTTCTCTGTTCCATAAATCATCAAAACGGAAATGTTTCCTGTTCTTCTTTATTCCTTATTCCTATTGTTATCTGTAAATATGTTATGATATTAATAAATGAAAACAATTTCCAACTTTTCATTCAAAGAGTTCTATGTATAAAACTATAGTTATATTTTAATTGTCTACTGATTCGTATGTGGTCCAAGAATGAGAAGGTTCACATTTTAATTTGAATGTAACTATAAATTTCACTAATGTAAAACTAATCAGATGTGGTATAATTGCCAATGAGACAACTATCCACAAAAATTCAAATGAACAGGATATAAGCAATTTAAGCCAACCTTAAAGCCTTCAACCATGAGAAAATCCCACAATATATATACTTAGATTATTCAATGATATTTGTTATCATTTTTTTGAAATTGAAGTTATTCTTATTTTAATCAAAAGTATGTATATAAGCTTCAATAAACATAAAGAAAAAGATTTAGACTTTGGGTGTAAATAAATAATTTATTTAAATGACTTTATATGGTATGTCTAATAAGAAAAGCAGTGGCGGATCCAGAACTTTTTATAATGGGGCCCACTGACTGCCATAAGAGGGGTCCAGCTACAGTCATGTTTCAGTGATTCAATATATAATCAAACAATTTTTTCCACGAAAGGGGTGAGGGCCTATATATATATTAAAATAAAGTTTAACTTCATACGCAACATTATATTATCATATCTTTTAACTAAAAGGTAACTTTTCTTTCATTCATTCATATCTTTAATTCCTCATTAATCAGATTAAATGAACATACATTTAGTGAATATAAGTCATAACTTCAAACAAAATATCAGCATGAGAGCAAAAATATAAAGTAAAAACACAAGATAGTCTACATTCAAGTTGTGAGTTCAAACTCTCCTTGTGCGGGATGGTCTGTGGTTATCTATGAGCATTCTTGCATGCACCACCAATAAAACCTGGCCACCACACCTAGCCAATACTGAAAGTGGCGTTAAAAATCAACAATCAATCACATATAATTTGTGTTTTTTTAGTATGGAAGGAGGTGCAGAACTGATACGTGGCTTTCCTACTGATTTATAATTCATATACCTGAAATTTGTTAAAAATATTTTTCATGACCATATGCACAATTTGACAAAAATACTAGTACTAAACCAGGGTCTGGATAGGTTGTCCTCCATTTCTATATTCTTTAATCTTTTGGGTCATTTGTCTCTATTCTTTATGCTTTTTGCCCATCATTCTCTTTTCTTAATATTTTAGCACCTCATTATTCTCTATTCTGTTTTTATAGTCAATTTTTCTCTATTTATATTTTTAGCCATTGTTCTCTATTCTGTGAACCCCATACTAGCCCTAATAAATGATGGATATAGGTTTACGAGATTCAGTAATTTGGGATAAAATTAAACTATAATTGTTATTTCTTTGCTATATTATTTTTGTTTTTGTTTTTTTTCACACACTAATTGTGTTTAAATAAAGATATTTATATAAAACCATGCTTACAGGTTTAACCTTTTTACTATTCGAGACAACCAAACAAATGACCACAAATGTTTTACACAACCGTAATAATTAAATTAAAATATAGATGCTAACATTGACAGGCCAAAGTTAAAGTTTAGTTTTAAATTGAAGTGTCACGCTGGGAAAGGGGCGTTTATTTACATGTGGTCTGTGGAATACTGGATTTAAGCCTCAAAAGGGACCAATAAATAACTATTTACCGATCTGATCAATTAAAATTATGTAATGGATATTGTTCAGATCGTTCTACAATTGAAATAACCATTAAAAAGTAATAATAATAGGATTTTGTGAGCTCAGAAACGTACTATTCATGTGGATCTGTTGAAAAATGGCGTCGATTTATGCGCTTTCTTTTCGCAGCCTCAGTTGCAAGGAGTGATTGGTAGTTATGCAAATATTTAGGGACTCCTATCATCATTGATACTATTTTTGGTCATTTTATATTTAAATATCAATTAGGATGCAAATGTGTCAGTTATTTTCAGAAGGGGAAAACACCCGCCATATTTTTATCTTCCAAAACAACAACGTCACTTGCCATTTTCAGAAGTTTGTTTCTTGTAAAATAAAATCTCCTAAGAAGAAAAAATGGCATGGTCACCTGTTAAACTTACCTATACAACTAATTGATAATGAAATGGTGCAAGTTTAATTGTCTTTAATAATAAATTTCTTGAAAAATCACACGTACACGATGTAAACAAATTACCGAGATGGTGCGATACTGTCGCCGTCTATGTAAAAATCGCGATTGTCGCCCTTGAATTCTTGTCCGTTATGCATATGGAAGGAGTCATTATCAATCCCCGAAAAATATTATAAAAAGTCCATTTAACCTAAATTAAGGCAACAGTAGTATACCGGTGTTCAAATGTCATAAATCGATTGAGAAAAAACAAATCCGGGTTATAAACCAAAAGTGAGGGAAACACATCAACTACAAGAGGAAAAACAAAGGAACAACAGGAACACCGAA